GGATCAATCAGAGGTTAGAAGAGCTTTCCTTTTTTTTCAAACGATGGGTTTGTTTTCAGAAACTGATAATGAAAAAAGACAAGTCAGTGGGAAAAAGAAACGGAAACTGTTTACCAAAGCCCACCTGGAACCAGGGATGTGCCAGAATGTGACTCACCCGTGGTAAAGTCCTCTATAATAACTCCCAATCCCCCTCCTGATCCTCACCATCGGCAACTGCACTATAAATCTCACTCCAGTCGATTACTATGCCCCTAGCAACAACTAACACAAAGTCATGAAATGTTAACCAAAGCCATGAGTTAAATCAGGTAGAGAGGGACAGGATATCTAGCTGTTGGTTGATCAGTGTCTGGCACGGTGAAATAAACCCTGTGGCCTCTTCACATATACTCACACCAGAGCCCAGGAAACTCTTCTTTCTGGCAGTAATGAGCATAACATTGACCAAGACCTTTGCCTTGCTATTAAAAGATAAAAGATACACTTTACCTATCCCAAATTGGGAACTTTTTTTCGTTGCAGCAGCATGTAAAACAAGTCATTAAATGTTAATAAATAATAGAACGGTTTTATTCAGGAAAATTAGTTTGACCAGAGGTTGCTGTCTAGCTGTGATCTGATGTATCTCATTTCCCGAACAAATTGTACGACATTCAGAAAGGGATCAAGGCCGCCTGCAGACATTCAAGATGACATTAGTATTCTATTCTTTACTAAAAACTCACATGTATTGAAGAGAGAGAATGCAGGAAGTTAACAGAATATTTTATATTTTTTTTAATGTTTAATACAGGTTAAGTTTATGAAGTGGTGGCTTTCTTTGTGATTGCCTGTCCCTGTAATTAGCAACCACAATGTGACATAATTCAACACATTTTTCCAAAGGGAATCCACTCTGTCTTTGATGATAGGATGACATGTTAATTATATATGAATGTCTTCTTGTACGTCAGCAGAAAGCCAATGAACAGTAAATGTTCATCTTATACACCATATAAGTCAATGTTTCCACAGTTTAGACAACATAAAGGTGGATACACAAGGTCACATCTAAAAGAAACAAATGCTTTTGATGTGCAGAGCATAAAAGAGGAATTTAACGTGATCACAGAGTGTACATTTCAACCTCTATGATTCTTACAAATGTCCTCCACCCACATCTGGACGAAGCCACTGATTTCCCTGTGGTCCATCACAGGGGAAGAAGTAGAGCTAGTTGTTCACACATGACCTCTGACCCGCCGCTGGGGAGCCAATGAGGGAGCAGCCTGTGTCTTGGGAGCTGTTGCCCTCTGATGTGATGGCTCCAGGCAGTGGGCTTTGCGTGAACCCATCCCCCATGGCACCCCTCGCCACTAGATGCTCTGCATTATTCATAAAGCCCGACGTGGGGTGGGGAGAGAAACAGAATATGGAAAAGGAAGCACCAAAGTTCAAGACCTTCTCAGATCACAAGGAACTTCTGCTTAACCTCCCTTGAAGTGGCGAACACAGGGATAGAGCAGTTTTTTGAAGGAACTGGATCTGAAAGCCGGACTGGGGATCAATGGGGATTCCCTCGAGGCTTGGTGGAGATCGCATTCTCTGAAAGGTGATTGGTGAATCAATGTGGTTCCCATGGTTCACTTTGCCATTGTGAGAACTGATCCATCCTACTGCAAGTGATACTGTCTTATGACAGTTCAGGTGCCATCATGTTGATGTTGAACCAGTGAATCAAAATCCTACACAGATTGTGCATATGTAATATATCAGAGACATTATATCACACAAGCTCTATTAAGGTTAGAGATCTCACTTGATCTACTGTATAATCACAGGTCAGTAAGACGTGTTTATAGCCAACATTTTCCTTTTTTTAAGTGGCAAGCACAGCATCTCTCTCCACTGCTTTCTAAATACACTCATTCATTGAGTATGATAGGTGATGATTAGTGAAAAGCATATACATGTTAAGCTGTTAATCCCTAATGCACACCAAGCAACCTAACAACGCTGCACCCCCCGGCTCTTAATACAGCCCAGCACATAACCTTCTAATTGCATAATTGCCTGATTTGTTTTAACTGACAGTGGTGCCCTGGCCCATGACAAGGCCATCATTTGCTCATCCTCATTGTCAGCAATTTGCAAGGTGGATACCCCACTACACACCCACTTCACAACATCCAGCAGCACTGTTAGAGACGACCATGAATTAAGAATGCATAGCAGCGGCAGAGAGATGAATAAATACAGCCGTTGCTAGATTAATTCTGAGAGACATGGATGCAGGAAGATAAAATAAACTAACAGCAGCAAGCTGTCCACCAGATAAAGTGGGTACTCCATCGTCTCTCTGCTGTAATTATTGGCTAATAGTCATTAACCTGGCAAACAGAGGTTTAGCTGTATTGTTTAAAGGACTCTTGGATGCATAATGACAGACTAATATGTCATAGCACTGGGGGAGATGGGGGAGGGGTGGATTAATGAGATTTTACTGAAGGGAGTGTACAAGAAGAGGTGGGGCACGCCTGGAAAATATAGGGGAAAGAGGGCCACATTAAGCTAATTGGAAGATGAGTGCCTACTTGTAAAAGTGCTTCTAATGGCATATTTGTTTCTCTCACAGCATCACAGGGCTAATGCAGGGGAGTGGAGTTGTGAGACTTACTGTAGTAAGGACTACAGGGTGTTTGTCTGCAAAAGTGTGTCAACACATACTGTAGAAACTTGTTAAATTACAAAACATAGAAAGTGATACATTTCTATATATAGTTGTTATATATGAAGTACTGCATGGGTTAAAGAAACTGCGGTTGTTTTTACATGGACTGAGCTTTTACAAAGTTGTACCCTTCACATGTGTTTGTGGAGTATTTTTTAATTTGTGTTGACTTTGTGCTCCAAGCGCGACCCTAACTCTTGTTGACTGGCCTTCAAAACTCAATTGAGCAGTGAACAAGGAGTGCTCGGATAGCCTCCTCTTCGACAAAGTCTGGTGCATAGCAGAAATGCTGACCTGTTCTGACAGCTGGCGGGGCCTTCCTAACACTAATGGCAGGCAGTTTGGCCTGTGTCACTGTGTTTTGGATTTAGTTGGACTTCATTAGTGGGGAAGAGGAGGCACAGGGTAAGACTAGATCATCAAATAAATGTCTGAACGCTGTTTAAGATAGTCAGTGATTGAGACGGGGCCAGTTAACAACATGTGTTTATAGAATGACTTTGGTCAAGCAATCTTGAGGATGTGTAAAAAGAAACAACAAAGAATATAATTAAACCTCAGTTTGAACACATCTTTAGCATTCATAATGGAAAAATTATTACATTTCATTCTGTAGTTAATATGAAACATCTCAATTAGAACTGCATCAACAAAGTGAGGTAGTTAGGAAATGGATATTAAGATGTTTTAAAATGGCTTTACTTGACATAAATGTGGCCTACCAATAATCCCAAATACAAGTCATCTACTGTATATTGCTATGTATTGCTTATTATATAAAAGGCACACATTAAGATAATACAATTACATTCATTCAGAATTGTTCATGCTTCTAATCATTGCTGTAATTTTAGGCTACTTGAGTGTATTTACATGTGCTTTTTTTGGTTATTATTACATATTAAAAGACTGCTCCACATCTTAGAACTACAATTTCTTAAGAAATGTTCTGGTTGTGGAACTATTTAAAGATTCACTTTCTAAGCTTTTTTTTGTTTCAATGAAATCAAATGGAAGTACTAATGCCCAGATGGCCATGCAGTATGAAATAATGGTGCCCAGGCTAGAATTTAAAGTCATACCTCCAGGCAAAAAAACTCCAGAGCGCACACAGAATGAAAGTGTAAAATGTTTTTTAATGTATATTTAACAACAAATACCCCAGTGACTATTGATGTTTCGTCTCAGAAGAATCTATTTCTCCAGTATATCTGAGGGCATGATATGAAACCACTCACACTTTTATTTTCTCTGTTTTTTCTGCTCTTCTTACTCTGTGTCTCTCCCGTACTATCTCTCTTTCGCTGCCTCTCTTTAAACATTTATCTTCTGTTTTCTCCTTACAGGCCCTTTGTGCTTTGTGATGTTGGTTTTCACAGCTTTTTACTCACCAGAGTTGCCATTTATCTTTTATAGATGCCAGCAGCTAGGAGCACATTTGAAATGTTACCATTACACTGTGACTAATTGTCATCGCTTGCATTATTCCCTTGATGTCACTTACGCAAGATCCCTCAGGAACCTGTGTGTGAAGTATTTACACAATGTCCCATTGCCTCGCTCTTCCACACAAACACTTATATTATACCATCTCGTAAAAAACAGCAGTGGCAGCAGTTACTGTAAGAGATCATTTTGTAATGTTCTGTCATCAGTGGTTAGAAACAGGAAGAGATGTGGGTTCATACAAACGGGATAAATAACTGGTTCAATCATTCTTAGACTAAAACTATGTAGCTTTACCACAATACAAATGTGCCTTATACAATTTGAAAAATGATTGCCAACGACGGTGTGATTAGTGGCTTGCATTAATTATACTATTATTTTTTTCCATTTCCTTTCTTGCTCACACAATTTTGTAAATATCCCAAGGAACACTTTGTGTACAGAGGGAGTCCCAGCAAGAGTTCACATCTTTTACAAAGCTGTTTTTGACAGTCTCACAGCTTAACATCCCCACAATGTTAGAAGGCGCAGAGACCTGCTAATCACAGAACCTCAGTGCATTAGATGTGTTTGCTTTAGACTCAATTAAACTTTTGCCTACTGTATTTGCTGTGTAATTAATGATCACATTCACAGGATTGATTTGAAAAAATTAATTATTTTTGACAAAGCTCTGCAAGTTACTAGTTGCTCGAGGAGCCTCTGAATTTCATGAGCAAAAAAGCTCGCCCTTACAAAGTAACCCCTGCTCCATCTTCTCCTTTGACCGCACTGATTATGCACAATCAATAATGGTTTGTATTTTTGTCTTCTCTCTTGTCTTTTCTGGGGCATCTAGGATGCTGCAGGCAAGGTGCTGGACCGCTGGTCCATCATGTCCCGAGAAGAGGAGATCATCACCCTGCAGCAGTTTCTGCGCTTTGGTGAGACCAAATCCATAGTGGAGCTGATGGCCATTCAGGAGAAGGAAGGTCAGGCAGTTACAGTTCCCTCCTCCAAGACAGACTCTGGTATTAGGACGTTCATTGAAAGCAACAACAGATCCCGCAGTCCAGGGATCGTTACACAACTGGATAGCAGTAGCCCAACAAGCATTCACCATTTTGAGAATATCCCCAACAGCTTAGCCTTCCTCCTGCCCTTCCAATATATCAACCCAGTCTCTGCACCCATGCTCGGCCTGCCCCCTAATGGACACCCTATGGAGCAGTCGGCTCTCCGGCTCCGGGAGCCCAGCTTGCCAAACCAAGTTGAACAGGTGGAGACCAGTGACTCAGAAGTGTCCCTTTCACCCTTCCGCTCAGGCCAGAGCCCTAGCCGTGGAGCCCTTGGAGGCATTAACAACATTGAACCCAAGACAGAGCCCAGTAACAGGGCATCACCCATCTCCCCGACCCCTTCCACGCATCACGCTCAACAACAGCAGTCACAGCACCAACAGCAGCAGCATGGCCAACAGCAGTCCCAAAATCAACCTCAGCAAAACAACAGTTTGAATGACCACCAGGTCCACCACCGCTTTATAAAGGATGAGCAGTCAAGATCCATCACCCATGGCTCCTTTTCTTCCAAGATGCATCGCATGCGGCGCATGGGATCAACTTCACGCAAGGGACGTGTCTGTTGCAATTCTTGTGGTAAGACCTTTTATGACAAAGGCACCCTTAAGATACATTATAATGCTGTGCACCTGAAGATCAAACACCGTTGCACCATTGAAGGTTGCAATATGGTCTTCAGCTCCTTACGCAGCCGCAACAGACACAGTGCCAATCCCAATCCACGGCTGCACATGCCAATGCTGCGCAACAACCGTGACAAGGACCTCATCCGCTCAACCTCTGGTACACCTGTCATCTCAAGCACCAAGAATGGTGGCTTCTCACTTACCAGCCCTGGAAGGCCACCACTGGGTTTCACTACTCCACCTGTAGACACTATGCTTCAGTCACCCCTGCACAGCCCACTGGTCTTCCCTTCCCTGAAGTCAATTCATCCTGTCCAGCCAGTGCCCCCATTCTATCGCACACTACTTTCCCCTGCGGACCTTGTCAGTCCTCAAGTGTCACTGCCGACCAGCCCGATCCTACCTACAACCACCAACAGTACCACTCTGATGGACCAACAACAGCATCTCCTGGCTGTTGCTGCAGCAGCGGCTTCACACAATAATGTTCATATGTCAGATGCAGGATCCCTGTCCCATCGTTTTAATATACACCATGCCAATCATGACCTCACCACTAGTAGCAGTGACCCAACTCCCAAAAAGAAGCCTCGTAAATCGAGCATGCCTGTAAAGATTGAGAAAGAAGTGATTGATGTGGCGGATGACTATGATGATAAAGATGATGACGACGACGATGACATCCACCATAATCACCACCATCATTCATCCCTTCTTCACAACAATGTCAAAATGAATGGTAACTGTAATAGCAACAATAACAGTGGTAGTGGCACTGGGAACCACAGTGGTGGTAGTGGGCAACAATCTCCTTCCCAAGATGAGATGAGCCCCGGCCTGAGAGGCATGATGAAACAGAGTGAAGATGAATGCCGGGAAGGTACAGGTAGTGACAGCAGAGGTGGAAATGATCTTCAGGGCGAGCTACGTTGTATGGGCAGCTTCACCTCTGAGGACCAAGACCATGAAAGAGACTTTGAGAACGAATCTGAAACCTCTGATTCTAAAATGTTCTATCGTGATGATCCGATAGATGTGGAGGACCAGCAAAAACAAAGCAGGGGTGGACGGTGTCTGGAGAAGGATCACGATGATGAGGGCAGTGAGGAAGCCCAATTGAGAAAGGAAATGGAAAGCAAGGGTCATTCCTCACCCTCACCTCCTCAGCCCCCTATGAGGATCAAGGAAGAACTCAACGATCCTACATACGACATGTTCTGCATGGGCCAGTACGGCCTCTATAACGGAGGCATGGCAGCGGCTGCTGCTGCTGCAAGCATGGCCGCTCTGCATGAGAGCTTCATCTCTTCGATGGGCTACGGTGCCAGCCCACCCAAATTCCCTTCTTCTCAATCACCAGAGGAAGACCCATGCTCAAGTCCTGACCCCAAGATCTGCTATGTGTGTAAGAAGACCTTCAAGAGTTCCTACAGCATGAAACTGCACTACAAGAATGTGCACCTCAAAGAGATGCATGTGTGCACTGTCACTGGCTGCAACGCTGCTTTCCCTTCACGGAGGAGCCGAGACAGGTTAGTGCTAGATCTTGGTACTGTACCCATTTAAATGTAATGTAATTGTGACAGTTGCAGGTAGGTTCAATAGAAATCCTTAAATCACTATTCATCATTGATTATTATTTAAGGCACTACATCAATCTAAGGAATTGTTTGGGTTTATTTTGGAACTACATAGTGTTTTTATAAAAGACAAGTTAAAACATAGTTCAATAGATTTCAGCATTTTGGAGAGAGATATTCCTTTTTTATTTTAATGGTAATAAAACAAGATTGATATGCACTATTTCATTAACCTACGACATTTACCCAGAGAGACTATCACTTAACATCTGTTAGCTAATTTAACACAAAAAAATGGAATAAGGGGCATTTGCTCTTTGACAAGTCACATTCAGAAGAGTAGGGTGTCAGTATGAGAAACAAACACACTTACATCAAAATGCACACACAAGAACTAGGCTGTACACATCAACCCTGCAGCTGCAGTGTGTTGTTTACCTGCCCTCTCTACCTCACCTTGTGACAGGAAGGTGAAGGCGCATATATTAACATAGACAGCGGTTTGTCAAACCACTGCATGTATTAGCACATTAGGAGGTGAGGCCAGCCATACTCACCTGGGCTTGTTAGCACATATCAGTCCCACACACTCACTCTGCAGAATATATATACGGTGGCAGCAGGTTGATGCCATAACATATGCTGGAGGTACACAACCCTCACTAGTGCCCTGGGCAAGCACATGTTCAATGGGCAGACCTTTTCTAATCCTTTGTAATACCATTTCAAAAATGACTGTTAACAGATAAATAGATATCAAAATAACAGCTGGGTGTGAAATAAAATGTCAGGTTGAGTGACAGAAAATCATATTCCCTTGCCAGTCATGTAAACAACAAGCAGGGACATTTGAAACAAACCGTAAATTCTCCGAACTCTCACAGCACTTCTAACAAGTGTAACACCTCTCATGCTCCCACTCTGTATTTTTTTTATAGAACTGAGCCGTTCTACATAACAACCTTACTCATTCTGTTATTTAATGGAGATAGAAAATACACAAAAGGATTGAACTTCTGTGACAAATACTGTTATTTAAATACGGGGGAACATACTGCATGATTCCAATTGGGAAACAAATCTTTCCAGAGGGAGCTTTATAATTCTCCTCAGGGTTTTTCTTGCCCCTCGTCTTCTCTTCCTCCACCACCGCTACACCCAAATGCGCTACTTGGTTTCTGAACCTTTTATTAATTTTGTTGTTTTGGTGGCATCTGTTCCTACAACTGTAGCAGGTGGTTCTGTGACTCTAGTTAAGTGGATGAGGGAGAGGAATGGGGGGGAGACACGTTAGCTTTGGAGAAGGTGAACCCTCACCTGAAGCAGCAGTGCCGACAGCAGCAATAATATTATAAAAAGTATTGCCTCAGAGCGGTGTACAGCCACCGGAGAGTGTGTTAGCTCCCCTCATTTGACAAGGCTATAGGGAAAGAGAAAGGCCTGTTGTGTAACATATCCACACACACAGATGCAAACACACACATGTACAAACAGATAACAGAGAAAAGGATTCGCTCTTCTTTACACCTTATCTCTTTGTAATTACTCTCTTAATGCTGTAAAACACTTGATAGATATATACAATTAAGTCCCTTATCTGAACTATTAAATAGCAAGAAGAGAGATCCATAGTATATGTATAGGTAACTTTAACAGTTTGGAAAAAGTACAATTCTTAATCAGATATTGTGCAGGTTTTCATTAATGCCAAGGTGGATACTGTTAATTATAATCCCACTGCTTGCGTTTGTTTGTCAATTTAGTCTATTCATACTGTCATGAACTAACAATGGCAAAGGGAAACTTCACTGAACTAAATGAGGCGACAACAGAAATAAGTGAAGTATAATAGCTAGAAAAGAAAAAGGGGCAAAGATGGTTTGGATGTTTATTTTCATAAATATGCAGCCAGGCATTTGATATCAAAGGATGGAAGTGTGTTAGTCGGCAAAGAGGGTTCAAAGATTAAAACATAGCAGAGAAAACACCTCGACACTCTTTCTACTCGCTCTCTTCCTGTGTCAGCCCCTGATGTGTGTGTGAACATTTGACTCCATCATTTCAGCATGTAAATAACACTCAAACTAATAAAGTGGCAGAACATATGGGAGATAGAGATAACTTTGTAGCAAGGAGGGACAATTGCTGCTGTGAGAATAATGCGTCTTTGAGCCAGGGGGAGAACAGTATTGCTCTGTGAGCCCACTATGGTTTTCATACCTTTTCTGTGAGGGATACATTCCTGATGGCATATGGGACAAATGACTTTGCTGCTGGTTCAAACAGGGAGCAGAAACAACAGAAAGAAGGGGAATTACATAGCTATAGGAATCCTGGGGCTTTGACGAGTACATACACAAACTGGGCTCTCATCAAAATGGGTCCCTGGATAATCCTCTAATGACAGTGTAAGAGTGTAATGGTGGCATTAAAGTGGGAATATCATTAATTACGCTGTATATATCAAATGAGAATTTTCTCAGAGCAAATTGCATAAACATCAATATTTGCATAAAAACATGTTTAAAATGTTTATTCTTGCATTTAAGTAAAATCAGACTAAACGATTTAACCTGATTTGATTGTTTTGTGAACCGTGTTAGCAGACATTATTAATACATAATGTGTCTGGTGGTTCAGAAACAAAATACTGCGGTTACATTTTTAAAAACATTAGAAAAATAGCCACAGCATTTTTTTACATGAGGAAAGTAAACCAGTGGTCGTGTGTTTTTGCAGCTGATGATATATATGCTAAAGCTGAATCATAATATGCAGCCCTGCCTTCTTACCACCCCCAGAAACACAGCTGTTAACATCCAGCTACAGAAAAGTCCTCTGCATATCTGATTAGTCCATTGACCGAGTGAAAAGCCAAAGGCACGTAAACACACCGTCAGACACAAGCATCAAAAGCTCCAGTATCAAAGGGAAGAAAGAAAAAGGAAGAGAGGTCATTTGATCTTCTTAGAAAAACAACCAATGACATTGTCAGAGTAGGACACACTGTAAATGTGCTGCCACGGAGGAAAGTACCGCGAGTGTTTGTTCACTTTGGATCCCTGCCCTATTAATAAGACTGGAGAAGTACACACACACACACACACACACACACACATTAGTGCACATGCATACTGTACTCAGGAATGCGGGGAAAGGATCATTTAGCGTGCCCTTGAGCAGGCATGTAATGTGTGTGTTTCTGAGTGTAAAACAGAGGCCAACATCAGAGTGTGTGTGTGTAGTTGTACAGTGGGGTGTTTTCTCCAAGCCTCCTGGCCGCCTGCTGCACGGAGGTAAATGATTGCATATTTATTGTAGGGAGCGAGCAGCGTCGGCAGAAGTGAAGAAGCAGCATGATTAACGGCTGGAATAACGCGCGTACCAGTAATCATCACCGTTATTGGCATCGTTAATCATATTTGTTTAAACCGTAGACAAGGCTCGTCTTACTTATTTCGTTTTTATCAGCCCATCCTGCTTCCTTTTCTGACCTAGCAACATTTTCTTCCTCTTTCGCTAGAGAAAGTGTCCTCTCTCTTGTACATTCCCGTGGTGCAGCCGCGCGCAGCCCATGGTCCCTGCATGGGCCGCTGCAAACGGAGAGAGTGAAGGTTAATTATGTTGGAGAGTCTCTTTCCTCCCCTCTCCTCCCTCTCTCTGTCTCCCTCCCTCTCCCTCGGTCCCCTCACGGCATGTGGTCGCGACTCCGCTGCTTCACAATTAGCTCTCTGTTTGTCTCTTATAAACAAAGGGCATGCTGCTCATAGAGAGAATATGTTAGCAAAAGCCACTCACCCCAGATCAAAATATCTGCTGATTAAAATACGGGGGGGAAAAAGATTGCATGCCTTTAAACAAAAGTGTCCTTATGATGTTTTTTTAAAAGAACAAGAGGATTTGTTTTATTCTTAGATAAAAAATATATATGCGCCCATGTAAGCAGGCTGTCATCAATTGAATTTGAGTACATGAACATATTTTTCATGATTATTAATGTATATTTAATGTATAAGTACTCTTTGTGAGCCCTCAAACCATTGTTTGAAGCCTAGGGTGTTGTACAGACTGAAGCAATGCAAAGCAGATACAATAGTGACAGAGTGATAAATGTTCCTAAACTCTTGTCCTCCCACTCACACCTAAAACCTCATAACACAACCCAAATGACAGGAAAGACAAAGAACGTCAGTTTAACACCGCTCAGCCTTCCATCTCATTTACACATTACAGATCCAATACACAACACACACACACTCACACAAAAACAAGGGCAAGGGCCATCAGATGAACCTGAAGATGATTAACGCCGGCTGGGACAGGCACACTCTCGCTCTTCCTCCTCTGCACAGTCAGAAATGGGCTCTCTGGAGGCCTCCCCCATCTTTTGGGCAAAGATGAGACTGTCAAATTGGTTTGCCAGCCACATTACTGGCCAACAGGGAGGCAGAGAGGGAGGAAGGGGGGGCACTAAGGAGTTGGGTTTGGGGGAGGAAAGATAGAGCGTACTGAAGTGGAGTGATGGAGGCGGAGGGGTGTGGGAAATGGGGCAGAAAGTCTAAATCTGATAAATGAAGGGATAAGTGCATTATGCCCACTGTGTGTGGATTTAGCTGACGTATTCTTATTATTTAGGGCATGGAGGCATTGCCAACCCAAAAGTTAATAATCATGTTTATGCAAATGATCATAAACTCCACTCTTTCTCTCCTGAGATTACATTATTTCCAAATGGTTACAAATTGTATATCATAAAGTGCCTTTTTCTTCCATTTTCTTTTCTTCATATATCTGTATAGTAGGTTAAAAGATTGTACTAAATGTGAATATTTGTTATTTGGATATTGTGCAATTCTAACAATGTGGTGTGCATTTCTGAGTATTTAAAATGGCTACTGTAGCTATAGCGCAGACTACTTACTGCATGATATTTAGCATGTTTGACATTAATATCTAAAACTGAGATAGCCATGGTTTAACTTAGAGCTTATTAGCAGTGAGAAGGTGTTGTTAAAGAGATGGAGACATGTTGCAAAGGACCTGCCTACCTGAGCATCATCAACAGCATCCTGAGCTTCAATATTAACTGAGCAAATCTGCGGCCCCACTTCACATCAATGCCTGTTTGGTATCCCTGCAGAAATGATCACGGCATATTTCAGACTGTTTTAAAACACTGACCTCTCACAGCCGAGCGTCCACACATGTGTTCGACTTGACAAGCATACAGCGCCACAAACTTTGAATCATGACTCCCATATTTTGGCCATAAGCTAACACCATATGGGTGCAACTGTACTATCAAAGGATAAAAAAGAACAAAGGATTTATATAGTCTTTTTGATCGAAGTCCAGCTATATGGACGTAGTAAATTTCTGTTTTTCACACGTACACACAAACAGACAAAAGCACACACACATGCAGTGACAGCCACGGCCAATCGATTTGCCACGCTCTCTCTCCCCAATGCTGACGATGCTTGAGTGGACGGGCTCCTGGTTGCCTGGTTCACAGAAAAGGGTCCCTCAAATGAATGTATTTTTACCTCTTTCAGGACAATGTCGGATAGGGAAGTAAATAATTAAAGGAAAGGGACCCTTTTTGACTGCATCAACCCTGCCACTGCTGGTAAGCTCTACTATCCATTGTGACTCCATTTTTGCCCGTCCTGCTCAGGATGAACCTTTTCTTTTTCACGTTTTTTTACACTGAACCCCCTGCATGGAAACCCCTCACATTAAAACGCATTTGCATATTTGTTCTTATTTGATGTATACGTATATAAGAGGGGTGGGCTTTCTGTGACACCGGTCAATAGTTGCTTAAGTTTGTGTTCTGTGTTATGCAGTATTATTGTGAAATGTGTGCAGTGGGTCCCTGTTTTCTTAGTCCGTCTTGGCATCTGTGAAATTGGAGCGTAAAAGCATTTAATTTGGTGTTTCACCTTGCATCCTGTTGCATGGCTTTTGTTTGCTAACTGAAATCCTAACTAATTGTCTATTGGCTTAAAGCATGGCACTTGTTACTTGGTTTCTTTCATCAGCTGTAGCACACTGTGCGATACAGTTCTTGTGTATGGGAAAAAATGCCCATCTTAATTAAATCCAGGGCTACATAAAGACATGTTCATTGAGGTGCTCGATTAAGCCACCTCCAATAGGGAACGAATGCGATAATGCTGTCAGGGCCTAGTGCTAATATGCTATCCAGTTCCCCTCGATTATCACATTACCACAGCTCGAATCAATTGATAAACTCCCATTCAATATGGTGGAGTATTTAATTGAGTCAGAGTCTATTGGATTTGAGGGCTGTGCAGTGCAGACATGCTGACAGTGGTAAACACTTGCAGGATGCTCTCTCTCTCTCTCTGTGTTCTTAGAGCCTTTTCCTCAGGAGAGGTGCAGGATGAGTTTCTGTGTGCCTTGACTGGAAGTAGCAATAACTACAAATGGTCCCTAAATATTTGAATATTTGTTAGCATTTCACAGAAGTAAGAACAGTTGACATTATCATAGTAAATTAAGAGCAAATACATGTGTTTCAACACTTGCTGTTTTGTGTTATTTACATTCCCTATACACATGCAGCCTTCTGATGTACAACTCTGACTGTCTCCCCACAGGCACAGCTCCAACATCAACCTGCACCGCAAACTGCTGACCAAAGAGCTGGACGACATTGTCCTGGACCCCCAACACCCGCCACTGCCCAAGGACCTGCGCGCCGAGTTTCTGGCTAAGATCTACGCCGGGCATCACATGGGCATGGACCCGTATACCGGGATGGGCATCGGAGGCGGCAGCCTTCGGCCCACTGGCCTGAACCACAATGCCCGTTCCCTGATGAGCAGCGAGTATCCCCACCACACTCTCAACCATAACCTGAAAAATCACCACAGCAACGGCTTCTCCCGGGGCCAGCCAGACGACTACATGGTGTTGGACCTGAGCACCACATCCAGCGTTCAGTCCAGCAGCAGTGTCCACTCCTCACATGAGTCAGACGAGGGCAGCGATGAAGGCATCCTATTGGATGACCTGGAGGAGGAGGAGGAGGAGGAGGGGGTAGAGGAGGAGGGGGTAGAGGATGAGGAGGAGGGCAACAGTGAGGGGGAGGACTGCTCCCAGCATGCTGAGGGGCGGGCTGAAGGAAGGCATCTGGACGAGACTGGAGAACTAAGAGGAGAAGGACTAGGTGAGGGGTTGGAACCGACCTCCTCACCATTCCTCTTTTCGTCCAGCGGGGGCACTCACGGGGGCAGTCACGGTGGCAGCGGAGGGATCCTCTGCAACATCTGCCATAAAATGTACAGCAACAAAGGAACCCTGCGTGTGCACTACAAGACTGTGCACCTGCGCGAGATGCATAAGTGCAAAATCCCCGGTTGCAACATGGTGTTCAGCTCTGTGCGCAGCCGTAACCGACACTCTCAGAACCCCAACCTCCATAAAAACATGCCCTTCTCCACGATAACAGACTAAATAATGACTTTTACTTGACCCCGCTGTCAGTCGGCCCGCTCCTCCCTTCATTCCTCATCCTTATTCCTCCTCAAATTAGCTCTTAATCCCAGCCCAGGGCCATCAAATACAGGATAAATGCCTGTACGCCTCCTGCCCGTCATTCAGTCATTGAAAGACATTTCTATGTCCCTCTATAAAAATGCATCGACTCTAAATACAGTTTATTATCGTGACCTTTGACTTTTCCTTCTTTGGAAGAACAGGATGACGCTCTCGCGCATTGGAGTTTGCTTTATAACAAAACTCCACTTGTGTTTTTATTCATAAGCCCCTCCATCTTTCATTTGAGACTCCTCCCAACTTTTTTGTCCGTCTCCAAAGAATCTATTCAAACTCTTATTTGTGACTTTGCCTGCAGAAATGATAGTATTGAAAAAAAAGAAAATCTTCTTGTTGTATTTGTGTAATGATAGCTTTTAAATGAACCCCCTTACAAAAAGCATGACAGCTTCATTTGTAAATAATGTCCCAAGAGGCTTTTGGTGTAAAGAGTTGTGTTGATGGTTGTTTTCTTCTTTTCTCTCTCGTTATGGTTTTATGTTACAGTCCAGTACAATACTTCCAGCTTTAGGCAAGAAAGAGGTAGCATCTTACTAGCTTGACTCATTTATGTTAGCTTCCACGACACGTTTTAACTGAGTCCTAGGAAAAAAAGAATATCATGTGACTTGTTTTATCTACTTGTTAGATATTCAGAGGTTGCCGGCATGCTTTTTTTGGCTCCTACACTGATATCCTTCTCTGTGTTTCTATCGTTTCATTTTATTTTTTTATTTTGTCTGTTTTGTTTATGAGCTTTAGTATACCAATTCAGTTTTTGCACTTTGCATCTATACAAGGGGATGTGTAATATTATTATAATGAGGACTTTTGCAATGGTGAGTTTAGGTGTTGTTCTGGGTCATTGATGGCTACAGTGCCGAGGTAAATAATACCTTTAACGTAATATGCCAGTTTCTTTTTGCACGTGCTCAAACACAGTTTCACAACAGAAAACAACTTGCCTCCTTGAACAAAATCTTCCCCCATTGCTAAAAAAAACTAATTCAGAGCGTCTCCGAAGTACCTTGCCTCAAAACAAATCCAAGCGTGAATGACTATAAACTGCTGATCCACAAACACAAAGTTAAATATTAATAAAGTCTCTCCTCTCTGTTCAATGTGTGTATGGTTGCCATGGTCACAATAATGACTTCAGAGGTGTAACTGTGTATAAAGCATGACATTATTGTGACATTCTCCAACAAAGTTATCAATGCAAGAACTTACGTTTGTTTTTACAAAAGGCATCTTAGTGAAATATGACTGTCCCATAGATTTGATGAAAATAGTCATTCAACTGTGACCAAACAAAAGTGATTGCTTAAGAAGAGCTCTTTCAGTGTGAGAGTGTGTACTTAAATCATGCCCCATTGGATTAATATGATGCACTTGAGTCTTAAAATCTTTTGCTGTGATATTTTCGGTATCGGTTTCCATTGCTGAGTGTCGGCTACAAATGTACTCTATGAAAAATGTTGCCATTTTTAACATGTCCATGACTGTCTTACGGTACAAATTGTTTCCAGTAACTGGGCGAAGTAGCCAAGGGAAGGGGTATTTATTGGTTGGTCATGTACCTTCATGGAGATTTCTTTTTGTTGGTTTAAAGAATATTTTTTGTAAAAAGACAAAAAAATAGAGATTGTTCCTCAGTTTGTTTATCAGTGTATTAGCGATGCCATGTGTTACTATACAAGATCTTCTCTTACTTGACTGGTGCTACACACAGAGGGAGAAATATGCAGTGTTATACGGTGGGCTGTACAGTATTCACCTTACATCCATAACAGTGTTGAGTTCCACTTGTTTCATACTTCTGCCATTTTTACAATATAGACATGACCTGACGAGATATTTCATGCTTTTTTTAAGACTCCACCTATATGACACATGCAGTTTCCAGTCCCCTCTTCTCAGAGATAAAGACAGCGAGACAGAGAGCTGAGGCTGATGGAAAGGTTGCGGAGGTGGAAGGCTGACTAGGAAGGAAAAGGATGACAGCAACGATCATTAAAAATGTGCTGCTTCTCCGTTACCTGGAGGCGTCCCTGCCATTCCAGCTTCTTCTGTCTAATAACTCACTTGTCACTTCGTTACACTGCCAGACTCCAAGGTTGCTGACAAGACTGTGACACTGACAGAAAGAGAAAAAGAAGAGAAAAGACTGTGTGCTCTGAACAATTCAATGTGACCCATTCAATTTAGTTGGATTCAATTAATCTATTCACTATCTGTGTGCTTATTCAGGGTCGCTGATCATTTAGTTCTATTTCTCTCTTATTCTTTTTTGTTCTCATTGTCTGTCAGAGCGCAGTCATTTAACAACCGCCTTACCCATTTCTTCAACCCGCCACTCACTTACCACCTCCACACCCCACAGCGCAGGTCCTACAGGGACACACACTAATAGTGTATGCTTAAGTTCACCGGACGGCCATGGCATAGGAAAAAGGGATGGGTAATTGCCTGTTTATCCCAAGTGAAGGGAAAATTGAGTACAGGAACCCCTGCCTTTTCCCAGGAGTGGGTTTCACTGAGGCGCTTGCTGCCTCATTCCCTCATTCAATCCCCCCGGCCTTCGCTCTGGCAGAAATAAAAAAGTGCTATTCGAGGAACCCTGCTGACAGCTGTCTCTAACACACAACCATACTAAAACACATGCACACAGAGGAGAGTGGCGCACACACACATATGCTTTCTACTTACAGGCCAGAAAGATGACAAGAACTAGATGACTTGTTAACCTCTAGTGATGGAGGAGACAGGGTCAGAGAAATATAGAGTGTGTTCTCACCACAGGAAATTCAACTCTCCATCTAGCATTAACATTATAGCTGCTGCCACTACATAGAAGGCTAATACTCCATTACGGAGAATGATGGGGGCTAGCAGTCAGGCATGGAATATCCAAAGCTCCTATTATTATTTCATGTTACATTTCCAACAGCTAATAATTGAGACATTTTACCAAAACTGTTTGATTGAGAAAAATAGATCCAGAACGCCAGCAAGCTCACAGATTGATTTTAACTTTGCAGAATTATTTGAGCTGTGCATACCCAACAAAGGTACACTTAAGATAAATGTGCTCGGCCCAAATAACCTCAGTTTCTTGATCTGACAAAAACATATTTTCCACTACACTTCTGCCCTGTTCCTCGCAGTCTATTTCTCAAGCAGCATCCGCAGTGCACGACCTCTGTCTACATGTATGTACTTGTGTGTGCCAGGCAAGACAGGCAAGATATTCCCTCAACAACGCCCTTCTCCCACCTCCTACGGGCTCCTTCTGAGTCCTGCATGGTGATGGTGATGCCAAGCTGCAAAGCTCCGAGCGGCAAAAGGCTGGCAACAGATCTGAAAAACAAACCACTGTCCGGCATCGCCAGGGAAACAGTCAGGAGAGATGGCGTAAAGGGAGTGGGCTTAGAAAGTGGTCTAGCAGTAGCCTTGCGGCAGTCACTTAACAAGGCAGGGGAGAAAGAGAGGGGCGAGCAGCGGGGCCAGGACTCCCCGGGAGTCTTAGCCAGCTTTTTCTAGATTGCCTGCTGGAGAGCGATCGCCACCCCTCACATCTCCACCCCTCTCCCCCTACACTTTCCTCTCCTCTGAGAAATGACCACCAATTTCCCCCTCTCCTCTGAGAAAGGCCCCCCTATCCAATCTTTGTCTCCCTCTTTTACTTCCCCAACCACATGGGCCCAGGTGCTACCTAGTGACCGGGCTGTGGATCCGCAGGAACACGTCACTTAGAGCGCCTCGTTGGCTGCGACCACTGGAGTGAATCTTTAATATTTGATTAGAGGAGCGTCAGGCATCAATTATTCTGTTATTCTACATAGCACACGGGGAGAAGGGCATGGCAAACGGCTGACCTGTAAATCACTGTCCGTTCTGTTCACTTCACATCGTGGAGGAGAGGGGACGCCACATGTCATGTTAATGTAGCTCATGGAACAAAGTGGGATTCAAATGTTTAAAAGGACACCATAAGAAATATGCAGATAGTAGAAAAATACACACATATTTGTATAGATGCTTCAGTGTCATGTGTTATGTTCTCGAAAAAGACCCTCGTTAATTTGAACTGGAACCTGTGAAATTAATTCATTTCATGTTTTCCATTGTGCCAATTATATTTTACAGTCTTAAATATAAATAAGCTTGAAGAGCTGGTGGATTTCGATTTTTTTATTTCACTTTTTTCTGTATCAAATGCATTTGTTTCTTTAAAAAGCCTGTGTTCTGGCACGGGCACTCGACAGCGTTGCATGGCTACATCGTCGCACTGCAAACAACGAACAGAGCAGAGGAGCTTACGTTACTTTGGTGTCAAAAGGGTGATTTGGAAGCCTCATGAATACTGTATGTTACCTAAACAGGTGTTTCCCATTTGCAGTGAGGAGGAGAAAAATGGTCCTCTTTTTAAAAAGACTTGTTTCTTTCTTTTCTTTCCTTTTTTGCCTTTCTTGTATTTGTTTCTGTATCATAACTGTCTATGGTTTTTGCATAAAATGCATAAGGGTTTTGGGATGTAAATGGAATTGTATTCATATTTTGTCCAAATACCTCTTGTAATTTGTATCAGAATTCTTGTACAATTTTTATATTAAAGATTTATCAGTCACTGGCAAGTTGTCATTGTGTTTTTCTACAAATTCTTAATTGTATAAAAGTAGCTTATAATAATAATAACCTTTTCTATCATGTAGAATGAAAAGTGCAGAGCCCCGAAACAATGTGTCAATCAAGCCGTTTTAACAAGACACTGTGATTTCAGCAGGTTTTACTGGGCTCTTAATTGCTCCGTGATAAAAATCACTGGGGAAAAGGCTATCTTGACCAATTAGTGGACGATTAGATTAATAGAGTTATTAAAAGATGTACTGGCATGAGGAGAAGGTGCTGCTGGTCTTAGCAAATTAGTAAGATGGTCACACTGGAGGAGGGAGACAAAGGACATACAGCACCTTGTCTGATCATATGCTGAAATTAAATTAAATGCCCTTGTGAAGGAACTCCATTTCAAGGAATAATGTATATAAAATGTACTTGAAATTGCACTTAATATACAGAAATAAAACAGCTTTTTGTATCCCTCTTATGAAAGCTTTGAGAACTAGCAAACCATCAATATTTTTGTTTACGCACCACATGAAATGAAAAATATTAACATGTATGAATATTAGCCAAACAGAAAACAACTCTAACAGTGAAGACAGAAATTGACAACGACAACACAAATGCAGGGTCATTTGGAAAAAGCGACCTGTGCTGACATCATTTGCTTTGACTGGGGGTCAAATTACAAATTGATATGAGCTCCAGCAGGGATGTCATGTTTGCTCTGGTAACCAACAGGAACATAATGCCCCCCCACCCCTCCCCTCGGTGAAAGTGAAGGAGTGACACAGGCCATATTGACCTTGAATTAGACACCATTCCTCTTTGTCACACACCAGTTCCTTGATCCCCTGTCATTGTTGATAACTGCGCACACACACACACACACACACACACACACACACACACACACACACACACACACACACACACACACACACACACACACACACACACACACACACACACACACACACACACACACACACACACACACACACACACACACACACACACACACACTAGAGTTCAGAATAATAGTGCTGGATGGTATTGATTATATGCAGGGTTAGTAAAAGATACACCCCCCACTTTTCACAGATACCCTCAACCATCTTAAACACACACACAAAAACACACTTCCTTTCTTGGCCACAATCTCCCACAGGGGAGTTGGAGGGCCGCTGTCCGCCACCATGCTGACCCCCACCATGCTGACCCCCCCGCTATAAAACTGAGTGTGTTTCTGATGGTGGCAGGTCATCGATTGGCCTGACAAACACACTGGCCCTCGGCTGACCTTTGAGAAGCGGAGCTAAGCTGTAGGAGAACACAGACAGACACACAGACACACAGACAGCGAGAGCTTTGCTGTGTCTGGACTGGAAAGGGGGGTACTGGGGGGGGGGGGGTCGAGTGGAGACGTTGACAGCGCAAGGATGTCCATCAGTCCATCTGCCTGACCTTCAGAGAAGAGATGAGCCAGTGTCAGTCAACAATGTCTTGAGTTTAAATGTTATCAGAAATAGGTTTCCGATGCGACTAACCAAATTGGATTAACATTTCAACAGAGTTAAGTATGGTTGATTTATAATTATATATAATTATAACATTATTATTATAGCAGTATAAAACTGTGCAAGCCAGTACCTCTTAGAGAACGAAGACAAATCACTACCTCAGTCACCTTCACATTTATGGTCAAGTACAGTATAGGACACATAAAAAGGACACAGCTCTCAGCCACAAATAGCCGTAAAATGTAAGCGACTAGCCAAGGTTTATTCAAAGGAAGTCAAAAGGGACCGCAAAGCGTTTCGGCTGCACATGTATGTACTGTTCAATCTGCAGTTTAACAGTCTTGGATATGTCCTGCAATAGGTGGCTGAATAAGAATCAAGCTGTAAAGTCATAATGTTAACACTATGACACAGATAAACCACGCAACTATATAAGACTGTAAACCACAGAAAACCGTCAGTGTGCAAAGTGACTGCAGTCATTGTCAGAGCAAGCAGAGCAATAGACAGTTTCTACAGATGTTAGCTAAGGCTATTAGGTCAATAAAGACAAAATACATTTTAGGTGCAGTATCTGAAGACTGATACTGTTCTGGCGAGACACTGCTAGTTAAAAGGAGGCTCGGCACTATCAACCATTCCTGACTTTTCCAAATAGTTACAATTAAAGGCAATATTTAAAATAACATTAAAAACAATGGACCAGTCAGCTGCTTAACATTCATTGTCAATGTGATTTAAAGCAAATTAAAAGGTATGGAATTGCATAACAACAAGTCTGCAGAAAGGAAGCGAAGCAGCTGCTAGGGAAGGACTCTTTAAGATGTAACACTCACATAGTTGGCCGATTTATTTAGCAACACTTCACCTTCTGAAATAATGTATTTTTATAAGCCGTATCAATAGTAGATATCGGTCAGTGAAGGGCATGTGAAAATGACCAGAAGCTGCAACACTCTGCAATATTCAACTGTGTGAATTTCTCAAGGCTGAGGAAGATCAGTATGTGTTTCTGTATAACATATTCTGTGATTGGTGAATATTGAGGGTCTTTAAGAAAAGCAAAAATGAGTTCTGATTTTTTGCTTCTTCCCGCATTGGAAATCTATGTCCAACCAAAGTGTTTCTGACACTCTCACAGAAATATACCCACACACTATCCACCAGCGCCACGACACTGAAAGTAAAAATCAATTTTCATTGAGGACAAATTGATTGTAATTGCACACTATAATTAGAAGGCAAATTACCAGATTTTAGGGGAAAGAGCAGAAAGATTTTATAATTCAGAGCTTTATCCTCAAGCTTCTACATTTAAATATCCACATTTATTGTAACAATGAACAGAGGCATTCATCTTTTTTTGGGTGGAATACATAATTATACTAAAAGAGATGGTTGACCCTGAGCAGCAGCATGTCAGTGCATTGCTGAGGAAATGTGGGATTAAATGGAATAAAATAGATGGTCACTTCTGAATTCTTATAAAAACTCATCTGTGGTAACATGAGCCTTGGCTGGGATGGACCGCATACACATATACGACTTTTTACTGGGCCATATTGATTTGGTTCTACACCAGTGAGGCCTGCAATGCTGGCTAATGCTATTGACGAGCCATCAGTCTTGTCCAGAAGTGTGGAGGCATGCAGCCCTTTTTCCAAGACCAACCAAGGAAGGAGAGAGGAAGAGGAGGAAAGAAAGAGAGGGGAAAAACATCAATGGACAGTGATGGAGAGTGGGGAGGAGAGCGAAGATGCAAGCACAGCAGACAGACTCAGACCCCTGTCCATGGTTTGGGAACACTAAATTAGAAAAAAGACAAAAGGGATGAGAGAGGGAGAAACTGTAAACAGCCGCATCGATCCAACTAGTGTTTGGCAAATCAAACCATTACAGCCAGAGTCTCATGCCCCGGAGTTGGGGGAGATAGTGTGAATATCTACACACTGCCCTAGTGAAGAGAAAAGTTTGCACCAGCACACACTGCATCTCTTTTAGAAATGGTTGGACTTACTAACTCTTTAGTTTACTTCACCCGCTGCAAAACAAGGTGGAAGTGCAGCAGGACAGGAAGGGGTTAACTCTGAAGAGGCTGGAAGGGAGGATGAAAAAAAGCCCTCTGGCAACCCAGGGACAGAGGGAACGCTGAACTCATCACAAACCCCTCTCCTGGCGTCCGCCAGCACATAATGACCCCAACAAGACGGGAATCCCTTTTAATTAAAGTGAAGGGAGATCAGTTAAGCAGATGGTTGCCGACAAATATTAGGGGAAATAGAATGTTTAATGGTCTGTGCACTTATCGCAGGCTATTTTCCACACCAAGCCCCAAACTGATAAACAGGACAGAGCCTTGTTAATCAACCTTACAACCTTTAAAGCCCAAGATAAGAGAATAATTCGGGATCTTTGTAAATTAGCTTGAGATGTGGCTAAGACTCTGGCCCCTTGCGTACTCAGGGCCAGACTGTCGAGTAGGGAGAAGAATTTCTATCAGTGTAATAGCCTTGCGCCATGGTGAAGAAGTTTGGGGGAAAACTACTTTTCCTAGGGGATAAAGATATATTTTTTCCCGCTGTTTTCCTCAGTTTCTATTCCCCTTGTGGTTTGACCCTCTTGCCACCAGCCTACTGCGCTCTTATCAGTGACACAAGAGAGTCACCCGCCTCCGTGGAAATAATCTAAACAGAGAGGCGGGGAGTCGGCAGCCCTCACCGGTGGCCTGTGAGCGCAGGTTAACGGGCCCTCACCCCTCTCAGACAGACACAGGTGGGGGTAGCCTGTGTTTATTTAGCAGATGATGGATTGAAGAGGAAGGGGTTATCGACAACAGTAGCAGCCCTCTGAGAACAGTAGTAGGTAATATTTTGCTATAAAAATCCCTTTACAGGAACATTTTATTCTCCAATAGCTTACTGCAGCTTTAAAGAAATGTGACTGAAGGCTGAGGATTTTTTTTTAATAATCAGTTTAATTATGGCCCATTAACACAGCTTTAACATTTTCAGAAGGAACAGTGTAGTAAAACAATTGCAGTGCAAAATCCCTGAAACCTTTTAAAATGTTTAAATAAACTAAGCTTATAAGTAAAAGATGGGGAAGTGATGCAGAAGAGTTTTCCATTTTTTTTATTTTATAAATGTAATGAAATATTGTTATTTATTTAGGGACACGCTTGGCTTGATGCTGAACAACATTACACATACTTACTATAAAAAAAATGTACAGTCATTATGTCAGTATGTCCAAATCGTCACACATTTATTGTCATATTCATTAATACCTCTTATTTTAATCGACACATGTGCTGACTGGGTTCATGTTAGGATAATGAGACGCTAATTCATCCATCCCTTTTTTTGGTCGATTTCATCCATTTGTTGTCTTTTTCCATTTGAGGTCTATATGTCGTGACCACAATGTTAAATGAAAAACACATTGGCTGAACCACCTCTTCCCACCCCCATCTTTTTCCAGTCTTTTT